AGGATTATTATTGCCTGGAATCCCAGCACCCAGGCGGCAAAGGCAGAATATTATAAATTCCAGATCTTGCCACATATGGTAAGACCTTGTAAAAGAAAAAAGAACCCCCCACAAAACCAAACAACAAACATTTTTCAGTCAAACTCACCACCCCCTAGGAACGAGTACATCAAGATTTAATATAAAGCTACAGCAATCAAGGCAGTACGATACTGAAATATCCACATCACATACTGATGATTCACATCAGTGAATCAATAGAACACAACTGAGTCCCCAAATAGACCCTGTAATTATCATGAACTGACCTTTGAAAGGGACCAAAGCAATTCTACTGGAAAATGCTTTTTCGGTCAGCATGAAAACAATTGGCAATACTAGCTTTACACCTTTTACAAAATCAATTCAAAATTTATTGCAAGCTCACAAAATACACGCATACTACCATTTCTAGAAAATAACATAGGAAAAAATAATCTTGGCCCACATTTCCTGTTTTTCCCTTTCGCCTCAGACAGACTCTTCAGACAAGGACAAAAAGCAACAACATTCTCCACCAATCACCAATCACAAGAACAATTTCTAGGCAACGTACTAAAATTCTTCTCCTCTGGAGGAGGGCCTCGGTCCTGCCTCCATGTGGCAATGTGACAGAATTCATTGACTACCCACCGGGGGGGGGGGGCTTACCATCGCTGAGGAGCAGAGAGTGGGTGGGGTATGGGGGAAGTGGGAAGAGCGGGAAGAGGGGAGGGAGGGGGAACTGGGATTGGTATGTGTAAAATAATAATAATAATAATAAAAATTCTCCTTTGAGACATCTTGTGTCAAACCCCAGACGGTTCAGGTCATTATCAGCACCATCGGCCTCCCCACTCCTACTGGTATGGCCCATCATATAAGCATCATATAAGCAGTACTTAAAGCATCCAGCTACTTTCGTAACCCAAAGTACCAAAGTCCACATTCCTCCAAACAAAAGCATGATCAGGCCCATCACAGTAACATCCCAGTCCCTGGTACCAACGTCTGTCTTAGGGTTTCTATTGCCGGGAAGAGACATCGTGACCACAGCAAGTCTTCCAAAGGAAAACTTTTCATTGGGGTGGCTTGCAGTTCAGAGGTTCAGTCCATTTATCATCACGGTGAGGAGCGTGGCAGTGTGCAGGCAGACATGGTGCTGGCTGCATCTTGGTTAGGAGGCAACAGGAAGTAGACTGAGCGGTGCTGAGGGAATCTTGAACAAACGAGACCTCAAATCCCACCCCACAATGACTCGCTTCCTCCACCAAGGGCACATCTGCTCCATCAAGCTCATACCCCCTAAGAGTGCCAGCCACTCCTTTCGGGGGCTGTTTTCTTTCAAACCACCACAGACAGGTATTGATGAAAATTTTAAGAACAGAAACGAGAGACATCCTCGGCCACAACCCTGTCATCCCTATTCCACTTTAGGATATGTTTCTTTCTGACCTAGGAGAAGTGTTCCTGGTTTTACCCCCAAAACAGTCACTGTGAACATACTAGACAAGCTATGTCATGTTTTAGATGCCTCGTTCATGTAATATTAGCAATGAGCATTTGCTGACACTGCTCAGGTTACAACACTCTGTGGAAAGCCCATGTCTCACGGGTCACAGCATGACTCTGTTTACAGCAACTCTGGTGTGGGGTGACTCTAGGCAGCTGCTGACAGGACTGTGCTCTGCCACCTGCTGCCCATACTGTGCTCTGCCACCTTGGTCCACAAAGTGGGAAGAAATAATAGTGAGGACAATATCCTACTGTATTTGTTCCTTCTTAATTGCTGTGGTTAAAAACACCATGGCCACGATGACTTATAAAGGAAAAAGCTTATGCTCAAGGTTCCAGACAGTTAGAGTCCAAAGTTAGTGTAGCAAAGGCATAGGAGGGAAATCGGGAAGATGAACACTTGTATCAAAGCAGAGAGGGCAAACTAGGAATGGCTTGAGACTCTGAAACCTTAAAGCATGTCCGCCATGACGTGACGCACTCCCTCTAGTAAGGTTACATTGTCTAACCAGCACAGCAAACTGGGACCAGGTGCTTAAATGCCTGGCAATTAATACATATTCTTAGTTATACATATAATCTTAATATTTTTTTAAAAAATACATAAAGATCCTTTCTACTGGTAGCCTAGCATCACTATACTGACCTGCAAGCTTGGCTAACTGTGGCTCTGAACCATATTTACTTACACTTTTACACTTAGGACCAGAGCCTTAAAAAGCTATATAAGAGCACTCATGTGCATACTTAGGACATTTGGCTTAAGCTTATTCATTGACTTCTGTGTCATCTTTTAGCATGTCTAAAATATTTCTGTTATTGTATCTTCCGTGACACTTAGCTAAGTTTTTCACATCTGGACCACATCCACCTCCTAGCTCCTAGCTTATACCCAAGGTTTCTAATCGTACTGGGCATCTTTCTCAGCTGTTCCTTCTCTTGGTTTATTTCCTCTTCTCTATCTCAACCTGCCAAACCCCACCAACATTTCAAAGCTTGATTCGGTCCTTCCGAAACAGCCCCTTCACAGGGCGGCCGAGGGACACAGTCCATGTTAAAAGAGCATAGTTCAAAAGCGGTTGTAAAGAACCTCACACTTCATCCCTGCAACAGTCCTATGAAGCCTTATTTCTCCTTCCCTAATCTTCCCAAGTCCTCCCTACCCAATGCAACTTCATGTTCTCTCTTTCTCTCTCAAGAAAAAAGAAGAAGAAAGAAAAGAAAAGAAAGGGAGGAAAAAAAACCAGTAAAAAGATTTTTAAAAAACGCTCACATACACAACATGGAATCTATTCTGTGTTGGCCAGCTACTCCCGGGCATGGGGACTGCCCTGGAGTGTGGTCCATTGGAGAGACTGACTCTCTGTTTATTCTCAGGCATCTATTGCACATGGCTTCTTGATTGGGGTGGGGCTTTGTGTCCACTTCCTCTTTGTGGGGAGTCTCTGCAAACACCATGATCAACAGGGTGTCAATCCACATGAGGCCGGAAGTCCAGTTCAGTATGGCTTGGTAGTCAGTGTTGGCTCAAACTTCGAGAGTTCAACACCAAGTAGTTTGTTTTAGGCCTTTCCAAGCACAGCACAATTTGGAGAAAAGTTTCCTGGTGACAATTAACTCAGTCCCATGTGTACAACAAAAATGTAAGACATGACTACATCAAAATTCTTGTAAGGCACAAGTAGCATCTTCCATAAAGACAGGTTCTCTTGATTAACTGAGGAAGCAGATTCACAGTAAACAATGCTCCTGATAAGGGTCTGGGGAAGACAGAGTTCTAGATTGACTGAGAAAAACATCTGGATCTAGGAGAGGAGAGAGCTCTAGATTGAGATAAACATCTGACTCTGGGGAGGAGAGAGCTCTAGATTGACTAAGATAAACATCTGGGTCTGGGGAGGAGAGAGCTCTAGATTGAGATAAACATCTGGGTCTGGGGAGGAGAGAGCTCTAGATTGGCTGAGATAAACATCTGGATCTGGGGAGGAGAGAGCTCTAGATTGACTGAGATAAACATCTGGGTCTGGGGAGGAGAGAGCTCTAGACTGACTGAGGTAAACATCTGGGTCTGGGGAGGAGAGAGCTCTAGATTGGCTGAGATAAACATCTAGGTCTCGGGGAGACAGTGTGGCCTGGATATACAGACAGTGCAGAGGTCACCAGGCTATTAGCCACCACTTTCCCAGTCTTCTGGGAGGAAAATGGGATGCATATCCTCTGACTTTGACCGCTGTGGGACCATGGTCTGTACCCCCTGTCAATCATATTTTAATAAATGCTGATTGGTCAGTAGCCAGGCAGGAAGTATAGGCAGGGCGGCCAAGCAAGATGTGACTGCCTCATCTAAACAGGTACCGAGCCACGTGGCAAACACAGACACAAATTATGGGCTAATATGTTATAAGAACTAGTTAATAAGAAGAGTCAGAGATACTGGGCCAATCAGTGTATAATTAACATAGGCCTCTGTGTATTTCTCTGGGACTGAACAACTGTAGGACCGGGTGGGACAGAAACCTCTGTCAACATTTGACAGACAGGCAAACCCTGCATGTTTAAACACTCCTGGCTTCCCCGGTGCTTCTCTGGCAACACAATGATCTACATATCCCTACACCCTGTCTGAGATTTTGGAAGATGCTGGGGGTGGGGAAGGTGGTTATCCCCCCACACACACACACAAATCTCATCACATGGCTACTACATAGTAAGCCTGAGATTGGCACTTGTGATCCTCTGGCCTCACCCACCCTATTACTGGTACAACAGGACTTTTGCTACAATTCCAAACTTGTCTCAATAGTATTTAAAAAGTAAATAGACATAGTCCTCTCCTGTCACAAAAAAACTATATGAAACTATAGGTTAGCTAATTTGTTTCACTGTGGTTGACCTTTTTCAGTCTCTATGTGAGCCAAAACATCATATTATAAATTTTTAAATATACATAATAAAATTTGTGTTTGAAAAAAAGCCCAGCAGTGGTGACTCATACCTTTAATCCCAGCACTTGGGAGGCAAAGGCCAGCGGATCTCTGTGAGTTCAAGGCCAGCCTGGTCTACAAGAGCTACTTCCAGGACAGGCTCCAAAGCTACAGAGAAACCCTGTCTCAAAAAAAAAAAAACAAAAAAAACAAAAAAAACAACAACAACAAAAAAAAACTACGTATATGGGAAGCTAGCTCACCAAAATTCAAATCAAATATGCAAATTCAAGAGCAATAATGTCAGAGGTTCTTGAGGCAATGGGTACTTCTAATAACTTAGTAAGCTAATAATTTAATAACCCTATTTAATCTAATAACCCTTTAATAAGACACAGAACCAATTTTCCCAAATAGATGATGAACCCAGGCAAATCTCCTCCTTAAGTCACAGTTCAAATCTTGAACCACAGACTATAACTCTTAGAATAACGTAGTACATCTTGGTAGATAAACCCAAGAAGCAATGGGATTATATCTTACCATTCTTCACACTGTACCAAAACATCTGGCACAGGAACTTAAGGAGGGGAGGCTCACTTTGCCATCCCAGCGGGGACGCATGGCGGCTGGAGTGGGGTGGTTCATGGCAGCCGGGGCTATAGCTGATGCCTGTTCACAAGAGAATCAGGAAGCAGGGCTTGCTCCAGAACCAGAGTAGGTATGACCTTCAACCCCTGTGCCCCAGCAATCAGGAGGTTTGCCTGCTCCAAGCCACCCTGGCCTATGCTCTAAGAACCTGGAGGGCTTCCGGTTTTCACGTAGATAAGATGAGCTTCTTTCGCAAGGTGTGCTGCAGGCTCAGGTAGTATTTCTCCTTAGAAGAAACTCTGCTGTTCCAGGCATAAACTTTGTCCATGAGCTCTACATGGAGATCCACGAGTGGGCGCTTCCTGGAGGGAAAGAGAACAGCGAATTTTCATGCCACGCCAACGCCAACGGGGCGAGATGAGCCAGCAAGTGTGAGCCTTCTTGGAAACCCACCCTTTCTTAAGTATTCCGTAAGGTGTTTAGCAAACAATCCCAACGAGTTGGCGGCACTCTAGCCCGGTCGGCAGAGTCTCCTTCCACGGAGACAGCTGGATTTTACTGAGAACACACCAGCTAGGTGATAAGCCACCTGGATCACGTATGCAAAGACAGGAAGAGTGTCAAAGGCCAGTGCTGGTCCCCCAACCCCTGAAGCATCTCCTTTGGAAGGCTGCACCATTCCCAGCACACCAGGAAGGAGACTAAGGAGAGAAAGCTAGACAGACGCCTGAGGGCCTCAGAATACAAGCCTTTGAGTAGTAGCTCTTAGTAATTAAGGGGCCAATAGAAAAGGTCAATTCATCTTTTTCTTGAAAGATGTTGTGGCTTCATTCAATTAATTAGAAGCCAGGACAGTAATGGATCCTTTAAGGAAATAACTCCTCCTAATAAACATCAAAAATGTCTATAGTCAAGCTAGAGAGATGGCTCAGTGGTTAAGAGCACTGCCTGCCCTTCCAAATGTCCTGAGTTCAATTCCCAGCAACGATATGGTGGTTCACAACCATCTGTAATGAGATCTGCTGCCCTCTTCTGGCCTGCAGGTGTACATGTAGACAGAATACTGACAATACTGTATATATAATAAATAAATAGATTTAAAAAAAACTGTCTACAGTTGTGCCTTTATCTGTGGAAGCCAAGATCCTCAGTGGAAGTATCTAGTCAAGGAGACCAACCCTGAATCCTACAGTACACACACTGTGCTTTCTCTATATTACACACCTAGGGTAACGCTTAATTCATGTTAGCAGAGTATAAGAAATACGTTCAAATGAGCAGCATAATGCAAAGAGATGATAACCCTTGTTGAATCTCTATCATATCCCAAAGCAACCCTAGCGGGGAAGGGAAAGTCTCTTTCCCGTGGGAGGCCGTCAGACAAAGCACAATGGTCATCTCCATTTTGGTAGCAGGGCAACAGACGCATGGTCGAGGACCAAGGTGGAGGTCACGGACCGCGGCGCTTACCTTTCTTGTTCCAGCTGCCGGGAGAGGTTCTGCAGGTACACGGAGGATGAGCTGGTGGGTTGCTCTAGCTGGGACACATCCGCCGTGCACAGGCTCCAGAAGATGTCAGCTTCGCGGTGAACCATGCAGGGGCCAGGAGGATGCAGGGTCTTAGAGTCCAAGCTTCTTATTGCCGGCCCATCTACCTCCAGGCTGCTGTCTTCCAGTTGGCTACTGAACACCTCATAGCTCTGAATAAAGAAGAGCTTTGGCTTCCCTCTGAGAGTAGAGCACGCGTCCCCCATGAATATGCTCTTCACGTAATCCAAGGAGAACCCCGAAGGAGCCTGATCCACACCCATCATGCTTTGGGAGCCTCCCCGGCTCACTAGAACACACGCGAAGCTGTCGTAGTCTCTGTGTTGGGGCAGACGGGCAAACCGGTGAAGAATCTTAATGATCTCATCCGCGCTGGGAAACAAGAAAGGATGGACGCGATAGCCCAGGGACGTGAAGGTCCTGCGAAGATATTCTGGGGAAAACAGAAAACGACACCTAAATGAGATGAACCAAAGAGGCTCCTAGCATTATCTGGTCTCCGCCGCGTCTCTGTTTGTGTGTAACGACGCCCTGAGGCCTCCCAATTCCGAAGTAAGGGAAACTTGTGACGTTCGTATCCCAGACTTTTCACAAAGAAGCACTCCCCGCTACACCGCCTTCTCCGCCCACAGCTACCGGCAGATTCGACGGGACCCGGACGGAACCCATCTAATGCAATCGAACCTGGGAACCAGGGGCGCAGCTGGTTGAGAAAGCCTGCTTAGCATGTGCGAAGCCTTGCATTTGAGCCCCAGCAATGGACTTTTTAAAAGACACAGCTTCCTCCTGCCCCTGTCTTGCCTTCACGTGACTGATTCTGGGAAAACCCGTACCATAACACAAAGGCGGGGTCCTGGACTACCTACAGAACGGCTGAAGCCTCTCCCCAGCCTCCAGCCTCGGCTTTCCTCCAGCCAGCCAACGAGTGGCCTACAAACGGCTCCTCCGAGCTCCATCACGCCTTCAATTGGCCCCAGCTGACTCTGGGTACCTCATCAAAGACCCTAAGACAGAACAGCCTCCCTAAGCAGTTCCTAAAGTCCTAACCCACGGAACCTGGGAGAGATAAGCAAATGAATAGTTTGCTCAAGCCACTTCATTGTAGAGTGATTTATACACATCATTAAATAAATAATGGACCAAGTAAGTCTTCTGCCCTCTCCTATTAGTAAGAAGTGATAATCATCTTTATTTAAGGCTGCAGTTATATTCGGTATTCTTTTAGCCTCTCTTAAAAATGAATTCTGTTCTCTAACACTGAAGGGATATAAAGTACATACACTGTTAAATCACGATCAGCAAACATTTTATTAAGGAAATGGTGCTGTGATCCACAGGCTGCTGATAGCCTGTTGGATACCCGTCTTCCCCTTGTAAGATCTGGGCGCTAGGACGATTGAGCCACACTGACCCACCCTAGCCCACTCCCTGGGGTGTGAGCAAGGTTTCACAGCCCAGAATCATACCCAGGCTGGGTCCAGGACAGCAAAACAAGAGAAGCTACAATAGAACTGTGGCCACCTTGCAGAAATGAAAATATCCTAGAGACATATATAGCCCCTCCCTAAGTCAGACTGTTGAAATATCCGACCCCAAGAAATTAGAATTACTCCAGAACCTCAGTCTGGGAGATGGAAAAGGCCGACGCTCACTCTCCTTAGGTTCAGCAGTAGCGTCCCATCACGCTGAAGTCAGCGGGCAGCAGCATGGGAAGGGGGAAAGCAGAACCAACCCCACGAGATCTGAGTTTAAGTCCGAGCTCCCCACTTTCTCCTTAGAGGCTCAGCCTCCTCACAGGGGCTAAGGGCAGGGCAAGCATCTAAGATAGATTTGCAGGAGAGACCGGAACGGAGGCAACAGTGGTGGACGGGACCAGACCTTGACCTACCTTCTATTTAAACCTAAACTTCATGCCAGGACCCTGAAAACGGATTAGAGGTCACCGAACCTCTTTGCTCAAATGTAGCCAATTTGAATAAACACCCCTTTTCTGCTTTTCACTATTAGTTGTGTTTTTAATTGTTCTACTGAGGAAAGGTGGCCCAAAGTCGCTTGTTAGCGCTCCCAGGGCTAGCAAGTCCCCTGGCAATCTCATTCCAAAAGGCTCCTTCTCTTGCTATGACACATTCGCTCCTCTAGAGGGCAGAAGTAAACAGGGAAACTCAGGTTCCAAAAATCTGCTCACTTGTGGTATACCGGCTGATTTTCAAGTCTCTTCACTGCTGAAGTCTTTCCTTATGAAAGCCTTGGCAAAGAGCTCAGGGGGGCTTCCTTCCAAACTGACGTGCACGGGTAGGACAGAGGCTGCTCTGTGCCTTCCGGCGCCTTCATTCTCCTTAGGTTCCGCCGTAGCGTCCCTCACGCTGCAGTGCGCAGGCAACGAAGAACAAACCGCACGAGATCTGAGTTTAAGTCCGGGCTCCCCACCTGCTCTTCAGAGTCTCAGCTTCCTCGCAGGGCCTAACGGCAGGACAAGCATCTAAGATCTAAAGCAGGAAATTCTCCCCCAAAACAAGAGGGAAGAGCGAAGGTCCCAAACGCCACAGACACCACCAGGAAGAACCCCAGATCTGTAAGGGGCTTGGAACAAAACGGAACCGCTCTCCAACACGCTCCTGGCAAGGGAAAGTCACCCAGCTGAGATTTTCCACCAGTACCGTATTTCCTCTATTAGATGGCAAGACCAGGTGGGTAAGGCTACCAGTTGGAGTGGCTCGCACATTCCTTTCCTTCTCCAGCAAGGACAAACCCATAGCCCAGTCTGATTTATAGGCTCCAAGGGGTGGGAACTGTGCAACTTTGAGTGAATTAGAGCTTCCATTTATTCCTCTGTGAAACAGGCTCAGTACAAACGCCTAAACGCGGAACCCAGCAGGGTTAATGTCAAGATGCATATAAGCTGCATGTATTTAGGCATAATGATTACTTTTAAAGGCGATGTCTCCCCAATCAGGGACCCTGCCACGCATCACTTTGTAAATGACATTTCTTATGACTTGGAGAGAGGTCTCCCTACTCTAAACTGAAACAATATTGGGGCAGAAAGATTGGTGTTCGGTGTCAATTTGACAGACGCTAGAGTCAGCAGAGGAAGGAGCCTCAGTTGAGGAGACGTCTCCATGAGATCCAGCTGTATTTTCTCAGTTAGTGATCAATGGGCGGGGCCCAGCCCATGGTGGGTTGTCCTAACCCTACATCCCGAGTTCTACCAGAAAGTAGGTTGAGCAAGCCACGGGAAGTAAGCCAGTAAACGGCACCCTCCCCAACTCCGTGGCACCTGTATCAGTTCCTGCCTCCAGATTTCAGCCCTGCTTGAGTTCCTGCATTGAAGGCCTGCCCGTTCCTCCCCAACTTGCTCTTGGCCATGGTGTTTTGTCGCAGCAATGGACACCCTATGACAGTTGCCGTATGGCTTACAAATAGAGGAAGAAACAGTTGGGCACCAGATTTGGGAAAAAAAAAAACTTACAACAAAATGCAGAAGCCCCACTTCTCCTTCTCCCCACCCTGGAAACCCCACTCCCCTCCCAGTCACAGCTTGGTAAGTTACAACTGCTTCTTAGAAAACACTTCTAGGGCTGGAGAGACGGCTTAGCCGTTAAAGGCTAGGCTCCCAAGCCAAAATAAGAGAAAACATTTCTAGAAGCCTTGGAAGGTTCCCTGGTCTTGCAGTTAATGCAAGACTGCCAGTTGCTACCCTCAGGGCTAGGAACTCTAGAGTTAACCCAGTAAAATGCCAGCAATTTATTCATTTAAAATTAATTTGAGGGCTGGAGAGATGGCTCAGTGGTTAAGAGCACTGTCTGCTCTTCCAAAGGTCCTGAGTTCAATTCCCAGCAACCACATGGTGGCTCACAACCATCTGTAATTAGGTCTGGTGCCCTCTTCTGGCCTGCAGACATACACACAGACAGAATATTGTATACATAATAAATAAATAAATATTTAAAAAAAATTAATTTGAGAGGTTAGTACTTAAAATCACTGGTTGCTCCCCTAGAGGAGCCGGGTTCCATTCAGCTCACGACTGTCTGTAAGTTCAGTTTCAGGAGATCCATGGCACCAGGCACACACGTGGTGCACATGTGTATGCATGCAGGTAAAACACCCTTACACATAAAATAAAATAAACAAATCTTTTTTAAAAAAACATTTGAGTTAAATAAGCAGACTTATCTTGATGATGTCTAAATAAATATATGGAATAATTTAGAAGAGACCCTTCACCAGTCTATTTACAATTAGTTATAGAATGCACACTATAAGCCAACACATGGTGGGCAGGATACCCTGGGAGGAAAAGCGAGTTCTCCATTAAACTGTATAGGAGAGGCAGGAGGACAAGGCAAAAGTGGATTTCTGAGTCTGTGCACTTATGGAGGTCACAGGACAGCCTTGGGTATCATCCTTTCCTCATGTGTGAGAAGCTCTCTTGGCTGTTCTGGCTGTGTATCACGCTAGCCAGACCAGGAGCTTCCAGAAAATCTCTCATCTCCCCATAGGAGGGCTGGGATTACAGCTACCTGCACTAAATGTTGGCATTTATTTGGGACCTAAGGATTTGAACTCAGGTCTTCAGCCTTTACCCAAGAGCAATCTAATCCTAAAAGAGGTTTCCTCTTTCTTCTTTCCTTCCTTTCCTTTTTTTTTCCTTTTGGCTTGAAGACAATCAATTTTTCTGAGAGTTAGAAAAGTCCCTAGGGCTAGGAAGTGAGAAAACTCAGCAGCTACCGGGAAGAGGCGAACTGGGAAGAAAAGGAGAAATGGCCATTTGAGCCAACATGAAGGTCAGACACGTGGCAGACAAGCAGTTGCATGACATAAAATAGGTGTCTTTTTGGGAAGCTACATGCACACACTCTGCAGCTGGGAGAGCTTTGCAGACCCACAGACGTGAGTCTGTTCTGCCTTGGCTGGAGGTCAGAGAATTTGAGCTGATTTTCTGCTCTTTCAAAGTTGTTTTTTTTTTCTTTTTTAAAAATTTATTTATTTATTAAAAATTTCCACCTCCTCCCCACCTCCCTCTCCCTCTCTAGTCTTAAGAGCAGTCAGGGTTCCCTGCCCTGTGGGAAGTCCAAGGTCTTCCCCCCTCCATCCAGGTCTTTAAAGGTGAGCATCCAAACAAACCAGGCTCCCACAAAGTCAGTCCATGCAGTAGAATAAAAACCCAGTGCCATTGTCCTTGATTTCTCAGTCAGCCTTCATTGCCAGCCACATTCAGAGGGTCCATTTTGATCACATGCTCCATCACTCCCAGTCCAGCTGGCCTTGGTGAGCTCCCATTAGATCAGTCCCACCGTCTCAGTGGATGGACGCACCCCTCGTGATCCTGGCTTCCTTGCTCATGTTCTCCCTCCTTCTGCTCCTCTTTTGGACCTTGAAAGCTAAGTCCAGCCAAAGTTGTTGACAATAGGTGTGGCCACACACCCTGAC